GCAGCACTTGCGGCCAGAATGAAAGACTAAGCTGGAGAATTTTTTCCTCCTGTCAAACTTAGAGCACCGCCACCAGGAAACGTAAGCGAGGCAGAAACAGGCAAATGAAACTGGCCAACAGTGCTAGCCCGAGAAAGTCAGCCTTGTAGGCTTTTGTTTACTACCCGAAGATCGGATCATGGATCACGTCATAACTGGAATCAATGATGAGGCTCTTGTCAGCGTCACACACCTTCCACACCGCAGAAGTCATTGAGCCTGGAAGCCATCGAGCCTGCCCGACGGACCCAGACAGTCTACCAAAAATGTGTCCAGACAAGGCTTTCCGCTAGTACCTCCGCATGGGGGCCCCCAATGTTTACAAGATTCCTGGAGAATTCCGAGAAGAACGCAGACATGCGTTGGGTTTCGGCTCGTCGATGAAAAGCCCCCTTCCCTGAGAGACGACTCCGGGACGCCGTACGAAACAGACCGGCGACCGCTCTTCCTTCCGCCATAATGTAACCTTGTGTAACCTATTGTAACCCCAGTTAATAAAGGTCTTGTTAATTTTAAATCAACTCCAGTCTATGCCTTAAACTTACGATCATCTGTAAATTCACATACGCAAGGAATAACCTGACAAGCTGCAGCCCACATCAACGGAGTGTATGAGTGACCACACCCCATCAACGAGCTTCAACGAAAGCGGAACGAAGGAACGATGCTGTTTGGGATCTGAAGAAAGTATGACCCGATCGGCGTGACGGTAGCGGTTTTATCAGAATAAAACATGGCGGGTTATTCCTGCGCGTGACCCCGTTGCCCACTTCTTTGTCGTCCCGTGTCCATTCTCCAACATCTTTCCACCCAACAAAATCCGACCGACTGTTTTGTCGGAATTACAAGACAGTAAAGAAGCTGAATGGGCCTTATCTTCACACCACTTCCAAGTCGGATAGTGCAGCACGAACATTCCCACCTCAACCAGGGTAGTTCTCGTCGACAATGGCCAGATCCAAAAACATTATGGGGCGACGGCCGCTCCTGAGAAGCACCAGATCTCTCACCTGGACACTGCCCAAGTCGAATGAGCGCATCGTGTGTGCAGATTGCAGCTCCAAGCAACAAATATTGAAAGAGTTCACGTTACATGTCCTTCGCCACAGGCTCCGTGTGAGCATTCACTTCTCGGGAACAGGAGTAGAACACCTTCGCCGATTCCTGGTTATCCTGGGTGGAAATTGGGGCTCAAGATCTGAGCTACCACAGCGACGCTTTTTCATTACAATACCTTGCATTTCCACCTAAGGCTGTTCAAAAAGGGCACTTAAATTGAACCCCGCTTCGCCACTCCCAAAGTCCTGGTAGCAGTAACCATTGCTCTCGCAGAACATTCGAAAGAGATGTCTAAGGTTTTCGGTAGATTTTTTTCACCCAGTAGTTCACTTGACCCTTCCACTCTCTTTCCTATGAGGCCACGAAGAACCGTCAACAATTGCATCAACATCCTCCTTGGCCTGTCAATTCGCTGAGCCATTCAATTGTTCCTTCTCTGATGCAAACTTTTTCTTCGAAGGTGAACTCATGGACCCTCCAGGTTGGTGCCGTTTTCGAAATTTCTTGCAGTCGACGGTGACAACTTTGCCCTCCTGAATCTCAGTGGAAACGTGTATAAAGTTGGCCAGTTTCGGAATCTTTCCCCGTGTTTCAACAGCACCAGTGGCAGTTGCCTCATCCCCCTCCCCATCATTGCACATGACGTTCCCATTGGGGATTCCGCTGTCCTCCTTAGAGTCACTGGCACTCAGCTCGTGCTGGAAACCAACAGGCTCCAATAGAAGCTGAGCGTCAGCTGTTTCCCTGTCGTTTTTGAAGCTAGATTTCCTGCTATTGCTGAGGCTATTGCAGGCTGTCGGGACCATACAGGGCGCCCATTCCAGGGACTCAGTTTCGTCGGATTCCACTTCGTTGTCTTTCCAAGCTGCTTCCTCGGGCACCAGTTCACTCTTGATGCTTGACTGCTTGAGCTCTGGCACATCCTCCTCAGATACAGGTAAGGTATTCCTTTTCCGTAGCTGCTGAGAAAGCTGGTCGCTTTGATGTCGAGTCATTGCCTGCATAAAAGTTGCTTGGTGCCAGCCCACTTCTGGTGATTGTCGTACTGGACCTTGCAATGCACAACCAAATATTGTTTCTACCGCTGTCAAATCTCCGTCAAGTCGCTTGATGGACCCAATGACAGCCTTCCAGTAATTATCCTCTTCGATCAGTATGTCAATGTCTCTTGAACCCCAAGCATAAAAGATTGGCAAGTTGAGCTGAGTTGAGTTGAGTGTGAGCTGCCCTGCAAAGACTTACAGGGAAATCAGAAGAATGGCAAATGGTAAGAGCTTCCACAGCCTCAATTCGTGCCCGTCTTTGATCGTATTGGCTTTGGAGCCAGACCTCTATCGGAGTTTACTCGTATTACCAAGGGCAGTATTGCCAAAGACTGTGATGCTCAAAGCCTCTTTTCCTGGAAACTGACAAGACAGCTCGTTGACAAGCCTGGTCGTCACAAACGTCCGCTGGCTCCCTCTGTCCAGTAAGCACCGGAAAAGGCGGTGCTTAGTCCCCCCTTCTGCCCAGATTGTGGCAGTTTGCAGAAGAACTGTTTCGACGCTGTTGGACACCGCACTCGTTACTGACACTTCCGAAGTGCCTCGCTGTGACGACGAATGAGAACTGTCCTTCGGGGGTTTGAGATCAGGATCCCAGAGGCAAGTCATGTGTCTCCCTTGGCAGTTGGCGCAGCGGTGAAATCTGGAGTTGCAACATTCTCTTGCCCGGTGATAACTTTTGCTGCACCTGAAACACCGGCCGTCTCTCTTCAGTGTTTATTTTTCTCACTGATGGAATGCACATTGCAATGATCGAATGAGTGCTCACGTGCGTCGCAAAAAAAAGCGTTCGGCATGTTGAGCGTCTTTCCTTGCAACTAAAGCTGCTGCCGATGGAGTGATGTATGCTTTGCGCACCTGATTTGACGAGCCCTCCTTTTGGTCTTTTGATAGATTGGCTTGATTAGGCTTTATTTCCAGGATACGTCCACGATGTCGGTGGCTCTTTACTGGCAGTAGCGGAGGACAAGGTCGTCAGGAAGTCACTTCTGCACGGCAGCACGTAGCAGTGCTTCCAGGCTGCGGACGTTTATCGTGATATCATCGTACAGCCAACTTGAGCGAGGTCTTGTTCATAAACGGCAGATCAAAACTTGATAAGCCTTTACGCTTTCTATTTCTTCAGGGTGATCAATATCAACCCCGTCTTCAATCTGACTGTCAGCTACCTTTAATGCTGCTTCTTCAGTTTGAAGATATTCCAAGTTTTTTGTGGGCTCACCCGCAGTTGCATCCGAGGAATCCAGTAAAGCTTGCAACTCATTGATGGCTCTGGTCACTGCCGACCGGATGACGGCTCGTTTCCTCCGCAGTCGGTCCATTCTCTGAAGGAGAGTGGTTATCCGTGTTTGTCAGATGGGGATCTATCACTTTTTTTGTCGCGCGTCTTCTAGGTCCCGGGTTTCGGCACCAGATATCTGGGATTTGAAGTACTGTAACCCAATCGGCGTGATGGTAGCGGTTGTATCAGAATAAAACATGGCGGGTTATTTTCGCACGTGACCCTGTTGCCCACTTCTTCGTCGTCCCGTGTCCATTCTCCAACAGATGCTTTACGGTCAATAACATTTGAACGCAGGCAATGCTGATAATCTTCACGTCTTTTCCAAATATGAGCTGGTGGAAGAACTGATGTCGTGTCATTTGCCATGCGGGGGACCGAAAAAGCAACTCATCCGCAGGCTTCTAGACAACAATGCGACTCAACGAGGAGCTGAAGGCACGGTGGAAACCCTCACGTCCATTCGCGACACTCGCAACAAACAGCAAGTTCGCAATCGAGGAACTCTCCACAGTCGACGACAAGCTCCAAGCCGATTTTGAATGCCTACAAGCTGAGATGCAACACCTCATCCAAGCTGTACCTTCGACGAAGGCATCAGACGTTCCCGATGACGCAGCAACTGCTCCCAGCAACGGCCCGACAACACAACGCCTGGAGCCAAGCAACATCCAACCACGACCGATGCCCACGCAGAGCAACGTCATCGCTCTCCGAATTTCCCCGTGAACGTCGACTCCCACGAAAACGAACAACATGAAATCACCCATCTTTCCGGGATGATTGTTGAGACGAAGGCCCAAATGTCAGAGTCCATAGCATGACAAGGGCAACCACTGTAGGTGCACTCAACGTGCGACACCTTAATGGCAATCCCCATCCTTGACGGTGCCATCGAGGAAGCAGTGTCAGAAATGACAAAAGACGCTACACCCGAAGACGCGGACTTACTACGGTGCGTTCCCACATGGCACAGCGAAGCTCGTGACAAAAGGAGAATCACTCTGACATTGCCCATACGCTGAACACTCCATCGATTTACAGGACAACATACCAGTCGCATCCCGGGCATACAGGTACTCCCCAGCGGACAGACTTTACCCGCAATCAGTTCGATGACTAATCCAGAAAGGAATCGTACAGCCAAGCGAGAGAGAGTATGCCGCACCGCCGATTGTTGTGGATCAACCACACCACCCAACAACTCCGCAAAGGATGGTTCACAACTACAGTAAACTGAATGCGAAGACTCGGAATCCGTCCTATCCCATGGAGAATGTGATCAACAATATTATGCGTGGCCAGTCGAACCACTTCAACATAATAGAAGTAAAGACGACTTTCCTCACCACATGCGTAAAATTGGACGACATCCACAAAACGGCATTCGTAACACCTGACAGCAAGTACGAGTACCTCCGAATGGCATTTGGATTTTGCAAAGCTCCACAGTGATGCGGCAGACATTCGACGGATTGCCACGAACCTCCACTTGCATAGACGACGTAGGGTCAGGAGCAACGACGGTCAAAGAAGCACTAGAACTTATTGACTGGCCCCGCCTGCAAAACGAACCATTAATCCGCTGCATTTGGTGGTTTTTTCCCGAAACGGCTGATCCTGGCGGCCACCAAGTCCTCCTTGAGTGGCCTGTCGAAGCTCTCGGTCATGCTCGATAGACGTGGTGTCTTTGCCTCGAGCTCGAACACTTCCTTGAGGGGACCGATTTCCTTGCGGGCAGCCACAGCCTGAGTCACAAGCTTTGCGACGTAGTCTGAAAAATAAATTTATCATTAAATATCTTTGCTCTCGGCACACTTTTAGCAACAATTTTAAGATGTGCAGTTGAGTTTGATCACAAAATGTGCAGAAGTACAGGCATCTTGAGTAATCTGTGCACAGAATGTAGCCTCTTCTACCCATTTATAAGGTATGAAACAACTGTCTGTACTTGGTTTTTTACACTGATGTCTACAATAAAAAAAAAAGTTTGCAAGGCTGGCACTTGTGTCGCCTCAGTTATCCATTTCCCCCTTGGCACAAGTAATTATGGCAGTGATCACATGTGAAAAAATAAACAAAAACATTGCCATTTCATACCATTTACAATTGTCGATATCGAGCAGCAGATGACATACCATCTTATCGATGACTCATGAGGCAGATGCAGTGAAGCAGACGACTTACTATATTTCCGACTCGGGAGTTTGTGCTGCAGTGACATAACGCATGTGGACGACGCTTACCATGCACTAACTTGTCCCCATAATAAAACCTAAAACAATGAAAAAAAAGAAGTAAAGGACATTGAACCGTCCTGATGGTTTGTTGTCCCGTCCCTTTTTTTTCTTAATTTTGTCGTCTCTGGTTTTATCCCGTATATCGTAGACCAGCTCACCTTTATATTAACTTTGTCTTTAACTGACAAAGTCAATAGTCAAATGTCAAATTTGGGGGTTTTACGTGCCAAACCAACGACGGGCATCTGGCACGCCCCAGCAGAAGACTGAGGATTAATTTGGACCACCTGGGGATCTCTGGACGTGCATCCGAAAGCTCGGTTACACGGCGCCTCCTCTGCAATAAGCCTCCGTCAGATTGCGGGCATTTCGGCCGGGATTCAAACCCGCCACATGGGTCGTCTTTAACTAACTTGCCACTAACTATGGTCTTTATAGAAATCAATCTCATGATGCTGTAACACATTCCAAACCACCAGAGAGTGGGATTCTCCCAGATTACCGTGAGTGGCTTTGGTCTTTTCGGGATGGGCGGTGTGATGCCCTTTTCTGGCTTTCGGTGACTTCACCTTGAACTGAAGTTGACCAGCTTTGGTGACGGCCTGCTCCCTGTTTGCATTTTCGTTCCGATGCAGCGTTGCGATGCGGGTCCTACACCAATAGGGAATGCAGTCAAACAAAGTGTAGAGCAGTTCCCACAGGTGATCTGTGCTCTGAAATGCTGCTTACTGTTTATTACGGAAATTTAGTCCCCATTTCTAGGTGTTTCTAACCATTGGGGATAGCAGTCTTTTCACTTGAGCGCGTATTGTACTGGCAGCTTTATGTAGCATTGAATGTTACGATCACTCTGCTGAGACATACCCGCAGCTGTGGTTGTCACTGAGCGGAAAGTTCAAATAACAAATCTAGCAACACGCGTACACCCTCACACAGTGAGATTAGTGATCCTGAGGAATTCTGAAACGTAAAAAGAGCTCAAAAAGGTTTTCATAATATTCTACCAAATAAATAACGATGAACGATTATCACTAACTACAACAGCACATCTTAAAACGGCAAGCAGTGCATGGAGTTGCATGTCATAAAACACAGCTACTGCTTTAATATTAGCGATGTGGGCAATGCATCGGGTTCCTTTCCGAAGCATTTCCTTATGTGCATACCTGGTGAGCATTCCTTTCGTAGAAAATGCAGCCGACTTGGGTGCAAAGCTGTTCAATACGCTGTGGAACGACTCCAGCCCGTACGTCTGCGTCTCTGGAGAGAGCTGGCGCAGGTCCTTGAGCAGGGATTTGCTGGCCACGACATCTGTGAACCTAGCATGTGGAGGTGAATCTAAAACAAACAAAGCATAATCAGGACTTACTGCACAAAAATTTAATTGACCAATGCTTAGTAAGTTTACACTATTGTGTTGTTTACAGTGGATAAACTACTTTGCCACTTTTTTAAAGGCTCGACCCTGTAGTTCAGTCGGTCTATTTTATTTTCTGGTTAGTTTGAAGTAGGGGCACAGTCCAGGCAACCGCATAAGCATTCGCATACATAGCATATTCCTACAAGCTGCGCGCCACGCTGAGCTCGGCCGTGCGGCCTCTTTGGAGTCTGCCTGGGTGGGCTCTGCGGCCGGGCCACTGCGCCATGGAAAGGGCTTCTCTGTGGGGTGGCGTTCCTTGGAGCTACGCCGCGTGCCAGCCAATGGGGTGGCTGCTACAGACTACAGGCTTTTCTCCACTGGACAGGGGAATTAAGGTGCCTTTTGGTGCAGCTTCAAAAGCTGATAAAGCTGGTTTGCTCCATGGGACAGCTAATGCTCTAGCATTAATACTTTCACAATTTTCAGTGTTCACTGAAGTGCCATAGTCAAGAAATTCACATCAGAAGTGACTACTCAACAGAAAAATGTGTGGTGTGATCTTTTTTCTCTATTTCGAAGAGTCTTGCCGTGTCCGTCAGATTCTAATTGGAGTCGACTGTACTGTGACAAACCTTCAGGGACATGTGAAATGTGTTCCCACCTGGCACCAGCCAATCTCCATCTGTGTCAGGGTCATGAAGGCATTGGGCGTAGATCCCGGGGTGGTCTGCGTGAATGTCGACCACGTGCCTGGTCATGCTGGTCCAGGCCCCCACAAGCAGGTCAGGGTCGCCCCGGCTAGCTACTGCACACCAATAGAGGTGGTTCACAGCCGGCTGAACCTATTCAGCAATCGAGGCACAGTCCCGACTCTTGCTGGCTGAACTGAGGCCCTTCTTGACACCTGCAGTTTGAGGAGTGTGCAAAATTAGCACTAGCCTGTTTCGTCTGCAAGAAAACATTCAAGAAAGGGAGAGAAATCATATCACTTGCAAAACGTATTCATGCGCTTTTGACCAGACCAGTCTGGTCAAAAGAATTTATATATTGTTTGGACTGTCAATACCTACTGCCCAGCACATGCCAGTACTACAGAGGAAAGCAATGGGAGTGAGTGAGAAGTACAGGAGAAAGCAATAATCTGCAAAAAGCATGGTGTCATTTCAGTTCAGATGACATATTCATTCCCAGATTGGTCATTCAGAGGAAACATAAATTATACTCGAGATGTCCTCGAAGAAACAAACGAGAAAAAACTGCTCTCTCCCAATTCCCAAGCCACATCTGTTTTTGTTCTTACAATGCAAAAGTTTTTAACTGCTTGCATACATAACAAATATAGGTGTCAACAAACAGTGCAGGTTGTTTTGTTTACGTAGAGGAAATGAACCGTAACAAATGCTATTTACTTTTCGAGACATGCCAGACATCAAAGTAATGGCGGACGGCTGGCTCCTTCTCCCGCATGTGCTTAGCGATGGATCGGTGTCTATCCGTTGTCAGCGACTGCGCAGTCAGCTCCTTCTCCTTTGCGAAGGCCAGGCACCTGATGAGGCCTTCCTTCTCCATGAGGCCGCTGCTGCGAACCGCCTCAGACTGTAATCAGTGGAAAGTGGACCATGTTATTCCCAGAAGCTGCAGGGATTATGCTGCACATACACGTACAGTAAACTCTCACTTGAGCGAATGTTGGCTTAACAAATTTTAGAATAACGAACTTTAAAAAAATCCACGGCAGGTTTCCTGTGCATTCTATGCAAAAATGCTTCAGTTAAACGAAAAACGAATGTCGGAACAGCAAATATTTCAGATCAACGAACTTGATCGGTGAACCCAGGATTATTTTTGCAATCAGTTCAACGAAGTTTTGGGCTCTGCAGTGCTGGCGTAGACGATGCCTGCTGCACCGCCACTATCGCCTCTGGAGCGGCTTTTGAATCCATGTATGCCGTGCCCTATGCTGTTCCATGTTCAGTTTAGTGAACTTTCAGCTAAGTGAACCATTTCCTTGGGCTCCTTGAAGTTTGCTCAAGTGAAAGTTTAGTGTACGAGTTATTCTGCAGCATTACCAGTCTGAAAGGGGCACTGACACTCCAAAGGTTGTACCTTTTTTTATTGTCTAAAACGATAAAAATTGTAGTCGTAGACACGCAAAAACACACTGCATTGAAAAAAAAAAATTTTTTTTTTCACGCGCGCATATTTTTTTACATTTTTTGTCGTGTTTTTCTCCCGCTCCTCACCTCCTCGTTTTTTTTTGATTGGCGACATCAAAAATCATGAAATTAAGAAGCTTTGTAGGCGACATTTCTATAACATTTCATAACGCCAATCGTAAAACATGTTTTTGAACGCTGTTCTGAACGCACTACGGCCCTTCTTTTTGAAATACCAAAAATCAAAGTCTGGTGTGAAGTCGCCTCCTGGATTTTTATCCTCCCTCGAAAAACATGGCGGCGCTCGACGCATGTAGCAGAGGGTGATTGGTGAGTTGGGGAATCGGACGAAGCGGTCTTTTTTATGTGCCCGAAAACCTTTCAGACTTCGAAAAGGAAACCGTCAAATAGTCAAAACAACTGGGTTTAGTGTTTCTGTATCACAGTTTCGGTTGTGACTCTGCTGGCAGCGTCTTCTGCTCGCAGCGATAGGCAGCACAGCACGCACGCAGGAAACCATTTTCCCGGTGTGCCGGCGCCCTTTTCCCTCGCCCTCATCACCTCCTAGCTTTGGGTCGCAGCAACATTCGGCGGCAACGCAACGGCGTTTCAGAGCGGAGGGGCGAAGGCAATAAAGAAATTCGACTTGCAGGACCCCTCAATAGTTGACGACACTCCACTACCACGGATCGCGAGGAAACTTAAAATTCGGCATTTGGAAATACTTTTTTACTTCACAAATACTGAATTCCCAAGTTTCGAATTTGGAGGGTAATGTTCAGGCATCGTTTTCAATTGTTTCGGATAATAAGAAAAAATATTATTTTGACGTGTCAGTGCCCCTTTAGGCTATTTTCTTCCTGAAATAGAAGGGCTCCAGACTCCTGACACCAGACAGCAAGTTAATTTAACAGCTTAGAACCAATTGTGACCATTGCTGTACATGTTAGTAACAGAATTATTTGTTCAAAATGCATGGTTTAGCAATGAGGAGGATGAATCTGGTCCTCACCTCTCCCACCTGAACCTGCTCGAAGTGCAAGATTTTGTTGAGACCAGGTACATGCAGGGAGTACGTCAGGTACTTTGCGCAGTAACCAGGGGAGTGGCACCTCCCGTCGCCGGCAAGATCAAGGGGCTGGTCGTGGAGCTCCTCCAACAGCTTGCAATGCTCGTCCATCCACACCTGTGGAAGACAATACTAGAATGTTTGATACTGGCCAAAGCACTGTGGTGAAACACTGCATTTAAATGTAAAAGCATGTAAGATAAAGCTCGTCAGATGGCATCATGTAATCACCTGCTCAACAGCGGGAACCAAAATGGCTCGCCGGTAGTTGAAGAAGGTCTTGCTACAGATGACTTGCACATTCATCAGACGGAGCAGGCGCAGAGTGTTGGTTGGAGAGGCCCCCGTGAACAGCACAAGCGCCGAGATGAGGAGATTCCCGAGAGCCCTGCCGTTTATGGACGGCTGGCTTTCCCAGCGATGCGATTGCCCAGTCGGGCAAGAGGTGCGCACTGTCAGTAGTATGCCAGTGGCTCTCATAGACACGCTGCAGGGGCGGTAGCATGTCTGGCACACAGCAAACAACTCTCGCAGGCAGCTGCCGAAGAGGAACTTCCGTTCATTGCATCCTGGCACCCCGCAAAAGGTTCCTGCATTGCTGTAAATGTTACAAATGCATAATGTTTGACAGCCGCTTCTCTGCTCTGATTGAGCAACAAAAAACTGAGCTATATTGCCTCATTCACATCTGAACCATCTACTGATACATTTTGAGGGACATCCTGTACAAGGCAACCCCTGTTATAACGAACTACAATAACATTTAGCAAAATGTTTGTAACAATTTAAACTCTTATTAGAGTTTGATGGTGTCAATGTGTGCATAGATTAGCATGTGACATATATGCACCATGGTAGTAATCGTTCCTAACTGTTCTTGCCCAGATAGATCAATTTTGTGGTGTGAAACATGCACTTGAGAAGGTAAGCAACCAACTGGAAAGCCGCTACAGTAGAGGTCTGCATGGGCCAATATTTAAAAGCCTGGCCCAGCCCTTGCTCCCGGTCACTTGGGCCCGGAACCACCCGTGGCCCACTATTGATTTCCAAGTCGGCCCAGCCCGGCCCGACGCTAATTTTCATGGGCTTGCTGAGGCCCCCTCTATTTTAGCCCAGTGTGAATAGCTCACAAATTACATGGCATGGCAGCTGGCTTGACACTGCTACACATATGTTGATTACGATACCCAAAAGTCAATGCAGTAAACATATGTTGTTGTTTTTTTGTTTTTTGCTGGTATCATTAGTTGGACCAATCTGCGGGCCTAGGCAGCTCGTTAGGAAAAATCACCCCAATCGTCCTTTTCTGCAACCAAACCCAAGCGGAAAGGACAGAAACAAAAAAAAAAATGACAAGCACCAGTAAACAGAACCACATGTCGAAGTTGAAAAGGAAGAGAAACGTCGCGAATGGTTTGGACGAAAGACGGACAAATTTCTAAATTGCCCACTTTCCCTGAGTACAACCGAAAAGAAAAAAAAATGTTTCCATCTTTTGTAGTGGTTTGCAAGAAATTGTTTAGGGTAAGCACCCTTAAGGGGAACCTCTTCACCCATATTGTGGATGCACACACTCATATGTACGCATGGTTTACGCCTGCAAGGGTGCATATTGTCACAGGTGGTGACTAATAAACAAGAAATAAACAGGAATAAATAAACGTTTAATGTGGCGAACTTGTGCCAAAAATAAAGAAGGAGACAGAAGAAAGCAGAGCGTCGCGGGCGTCGAAGTCGGCGTGTCAGCAGAATCGAGCGCTAAGGCGAGACTGACTCGACAAGGTCGCGGGCAGCCTCTTATCTAGAGTGCGCCGCTATCTCGAAGATTCGGCGAAAGCGGTTCGAGCGTCGCGTGATCGGGGCGAGAATGAACACGTACTTTCTAGAAAACAAAAGCAGGGATAAATGATAGAAGTTACGTGCGGTACATGAATAAACGGGAACTTTCTGGAGGACCGTGACCGAGCGTTTCTTTCTCAGCCTTGCGCGCGGCATTACTCCCCCCTTTAAAAGTGCATCGCCCCGATGCAGTGTAAAACAAATCAAAATAAAAAAGAACGATAAACTAAAGAGTCTTTTGGAGCACAAAAGGTCCACAGTCCTATCGAGCGTAGTACGGCTTCAGGCGCACGACGTGGACGACCTCAGGTCGTGGTGGGCGGCGTGACGATGTTCGTGTTCCGTCGGGCATCACCTCGTAGTTCAGCTCGCCGAGGCGACGAAGTACAGTCGGCCGCAAAATTTTGCGGGACATGGGAGCGCCAGCCAAACTGCCTTGCCGCGCCGTCTCGTGGCCTGCTGCCTGGTGTCAAGACCAGCGCATTGCGCATGCGTGGCCTTTCATACTAGGAGGATTGTCCTGTTCACTGGCTTCCGTCCGACGCGCTCCCGATTACTGCGACCGGCGCAAGATGCCGCTTCGCAACCGCTGTGCAGCGAGTCTGCTTCAGCCGGCGCGACGGGCAGCCAAGCTCGCTTGAACCCTCTTCGCGTCGCGGTGCACTTTCTAAGGGCCCTAAACTCGTCAAACACAAAGTATGAGCCCAAAGTTCGCGGAGCGCGTCTATTGGACGTCGGCGCAAAAAGCGCCAAGTCATCGTCGTGATGAGCCCATCAGTGCGCTCCGTCAACTTCGGCCCCAACTTTGTGCTTGACGAGTCTAGAAGCCCAGATAACATTTCGCTGGAATGCTACCGTAGGTAGCATATACAGGAACTCTATGCATAGCGGTTACGAAGCGGCACCTTGCGCCGGTCGCAGTAATCGGGAGCGCGTCGGACGGAAGCCAGGGAACAGGACAAGCCTCCTAGTATGAAAGACCGCGCATGCGCAATGCGCGGGTCTTGACACCAGGCAGCGGGCCACGAGACGGCGCGGCAATGCAGTTTGGCTGGCGCTCCCATGTGCCGCAAAATTTTGCGGCCGACTGTACCTTGTATGGTCCAAAGTACCGTTTCAGCAGTTTATTACTGAGGCCGCGGTGACGGATGGGCGTCCAAACCCACACCCTGTCTCCGGGCTGGAAGTGAACGTCCCTGCGACGAAGGTTGTAGCGGCCCGCGTCGGCGCGTTGCTGGTCTTGAATCCTGAGTCGGGCGAGCTGGCGGACTTCTTCGGCCCGTTGAGCAACCACCTGGGCGTCGTCGCTCTCACTGTCAGCTGGCTCATGGGGCAGCATCGCGTCCAGCATGGTCGTTACTTTGCGTCCATGCACCAGTTGAAAGGGTGCCACTCCGGTGGTCTCTTGTACGGCCGTGTTGTAGGCAAATGTGACGTACGGCAACACCTCGTCCCATGTCTTGTGCTCCACGTCGACGTACATGGGGATCATGTCGGCGATGGTTTTGTTGAGTCTCTCCGTCAGCCCGTTGGTCTGCGGGTGGTACGCCGTGGTGCGACGATGGCTGGTGTGGCTGAGACGAAGGACTTCTTGCGTCAGCTGGGCCATGAATGATGATCCACGGTCTGAGATCAGGACTTCGGGAGCGCCGTGCCGGAGGACAATGGACTCGATGAAAAACTTGGCGACTTCAACAGCCGTTCCTGATGGAAGGGCTTTTGTCTCGGCGTACCGCGTGAGATAATCGGTTGCGACGATTATCCATCGGTTTCCTTGCGTCGACGGTGGGAAAGGTCCGAGTAAATCCATACCGATTTGCTGAAATGGGGCAGATGGCGGCGCAATAGGCTGAAGAAGTCCTGCCGGTCTCGTCGGTGGCTTCTTCCTTCGTTGACACTCGTGGCAAGATCGGGTGTAGTGGTGTACTGTCTTCGCAAGCTTGGGCCAGTAGTACTTTTCGCGTATCCTCGCAAGAGTCCTGCTGTAACCAAGGTGTCCCGCCGTCGGGTCATCGTGGCAGGCTTGAAAAATTTGTTCTCGAAGACTGGAAGGGATTACCAACAGCCATGCCGTGTTGCTGTCGCTGAAGTTCTCCTTGTACAGTACGCCTTGTCGGATGGAGAAGGTTGGCAGTGTTCGAACAAAACCGCGGGGAACGGCGCTTTCTTGCCCCTCTAGGTGTTCGATGAGTGCTCGCATCTCAGGGTCGTCTCGTTGGAGTGCTGCCATGTCGCTTACATCCAGAGCGCCGAGGAAACACTCATCGTCGTCCTCTTTGGTGCAGGCAGGACCGGCCTCGACTGGGGCCCTTGACAGGCAGTCGGCGTCATTGTGCTTCCGGCCGGACTTGTACACCACGGCCATGTCGAACTCCTGCAGTCGTAGGCTCCACCGAGCGAGGCGTCCGGAGGGGTCCTTCAGATTCGCCAGCCAGCAGAGCGAGTGGTGGTCTGTGACTACGCGAAAAGAACTTCCATACAAATATGGGCGAAACTTTGTTATTGCCCATACGACAGCGAGGCACTCCTTTTCGGTCGTTGAATAGTTCCTCTCCGCTTTAGACAGCGTCCGACTTGCGTATGCGATAACTCGCTCGGCTCCGTCCTGCACTTGGACTAGTACCGCACCGAGTCCGGTGTTACTGGCGTCGGTGTGGATCTCGGTTTCAGCAAACTGGTCGAAATGGCCAAGAATCGGGGGCGTCTGGAGTCTTCGTTTGAGCTCGTCGAATGACCTCTGGTGTTCTTCTGTCCACTCGAACTTTACGGCGTCCTTCGTGAGGTGTGTCAGCGGTGGGGATAGCTTGGCGAAGTCTCGAACAAAGCGCCTGTAGTAGGCACAGAGTCCGAGAAATCTTCTCACGGCCTTCTTGTCAGACGGCGGCGTAAATGCAGCTACGGCGCGGGTCTTCTCGGGGTCAGGTAGAACACCCTTGTTGTTCACGACGTGGCCAAGGAACTTTAGTTCCCCATAGGCGAACCGACACTTTGTTGGCTTGAGTGACAGGCCGGCGGTCTTGATGGCTTGAAGCACGGCACGAAGTCGTCTGAGGTGTTCGTCGAAATCTCGTGAGAATACCACGACATCGTCCAGGTAGACGAGGCAGCTCTGCCATTTCAGACCTGCCAGCACGGTGTCGATGACGCGCTGGAAGGTGGCTGGTGCTGTACAGAGTCCGAACGGCATCACTTTGAATTCGTTTAGTCCGTCGGGAGTGACGAAGGCAGTTTTCTCCCGGTCACGTTCGTCGACTTCAATCTGCCAATAACCACTCTTCAGGTCCATCGACGAAAAATATCGGGAGTGGCGCAGTCGGTCTAACGTATCATCGATGCGGGGGAGCGGATAGACGTCCTTCTTTGTCACGGCGTTCAGTCGACGATAGTCCACGCAGAACCGCAGGGTTCCGTCCTTCTTCTTTACAAGGACGACTGGGGACGCCCATTGGGCTCCTTGAGGGTTGAATGATGTCGTCGTCGAGCATCTCCTGGACTTGATCTTGAATCATTTTCCTTTCCTTTAAGGAGACCCGATACGGCGACTGGTGGACAGGAAGTGCGTCGTCGTCGGTAACAATGCGATGTTTCGCCATTGGTGTTTGGCGAATCTTTGATGTCGTGGCAAAACAGTCACTGTATTCGGCAAGGAGATCAATCAGTTGCCGGCGCTTCGTAGCTGGGAGCTCGGGGTCAATGTCGAGCGGCGGCGGCGTCGTGCTTTTCTGCTGTGGCGACGAGGTTTCCTCGGAGATTGCGGTGACCACCGCTGGCGCTTGAAGCTCCTCGACGTGGCCCACGGTGGTACCCTTCGTTAGGTGCTGCGGCTCCTCTCGAAAGTTCGTCACAAGAACAGTTGTACGTCTTTCTTGGAGATCCGTTACGCCTCTTGCGACGCCAATTCCTTTTTCGAGGAGCAGTTGGACGCTGCCTTCCACAAGAGCTTCACCGTGCATGGCGGCGTCGGCCATAACGGTGACGAAAACACTCGACCGCGGCGGTAGGTTCACATGGTCGGCGATAACTCGGATCGCGGTTGATGTTGTGTTGGTCTCTACCGGCGGTAAAACAGGTTTCCGCAGCGTCAACTGGTTTGCCCCGAGGTCGATGACGGCGCCATATTCGCAGAGAAAGTCCATTCCGAGGATAACGTCCCTCGAACAGTCTTGCAGAACGACGAACTTCACAGGGCACGTTTCACCGTTGATCTCGACGCGAGCAGTGCATCTCCCGACTGGCGTGATGAGATGTCCTCCGGCGGTTCGTATTTGGGGTCCGTCCCACGGCGTCATGACTTTTCGCAGGCGGCGAGAGAGCCTCCCACTCAAGACTGAGTAGTCTGCTCCGGTGTCCACGAGTGCCGATGAGTCGAGGCCGTCAATAACAACGTTTAAGTTGTTGGACCCCGAAGCAGGAGCGTCGTTGTGATGCGTATCGTTGGGAGAGTGGGAGCGCTCCGTCGTTCGTGGAGGCTCTTTACGTCGGTCGTCTTCGGCAACTCCGCCTCCAGGGGTTGCCGCGCCTAGTTTCCCCGGCGAGGAGCGAGGGGCGACAGGCTTTCACGTCGGGGTCGGTGCATCGGCGAAGCTGGACGTCGCGGTGACGGCGACCGGAACTCTCGGCGGGACGCAGGCTCGGGGGACTGGGGTCGTCGCAGGTACTCGTCGATCTCCCGAGGGCGTTCACCATACCGGGGGCGCGGGTCGCTTGGGTGGAATCCGCGCAGCCCGAGTCGACGGTATGGGCATCGGCGGTAGGTGTGGTCTTCCTCCCCGCAGTGGAAGCACAGAGGGCGTCGGTCGGGCGTTCGCCACACATCGGTCTTCCGGGGTGCACGGGGCTCCTGGCTGGCGTACTGGGGCTGGTCGTCGTGGCGTCGGTCGTGCTGCGGCGCAGGAGACTGGCGTCGGGGCGGCGCGACATAGGCGCTAGGAGGAGGCGGTGGCCGTCGGGCCACTGCGGCGTAAGTTAGCGCGGGTTCTTCGGAGACTGCTGCGCTGATGGGAACCTCTGGTTGAATGGCTCTCTGCACCTCTTCCCGCACGACCTCAGCGATGGAGAGCGAAGCTGGTCGGTCCGCGGCGGGTAGTAGCTTTCGCAGCTCCTCCCGGACGACGTCGCGAATGATCTCGCGAATGCTTGGGATGCTGGACCCAAGGTCGCAAGCGGACGGCGGAACCGCGCTGACGCCGGGTAGCCTCTGGTAGTGGCTGGCTCGGGCTTGCAGGGCACGCTCGATGTTCGTTGCCTCGGCGACAAAATCTTCGACAGTTGTCGGAGGGCTGCGGACAAGGCCACCAAAGATGTTTTCTCTCACGCCCCGCATGAGGATTCGTAGCTTCTTCTCCTCTGTAGCCCGAGGGTCGGCGCGGGCGCTCAGGCGCAGGACGTCCTCTACGAAGCCGGTGACACTCTCGTTGGGGCCCTGGGTTCTGGTTCGCAGTAGGTCCTCGGCTCTCTCTCGGCGGTGGTGGTTGATGAAGGTAGCCTTGAGATCGTTCTTGAAAATGTCCCACGACGTCAGGGAGGACTCATGATTCTCGTACCAGTGCTTGGCAGTCCCCTCAAGCGAAAAATAGACATTGTGTAGGCGCTGCTCGTCTGTCCAGCAATTGTGGCGGGCAACGCGTTCATACTGGTCAATCCAGTCTTCGACGTCTTCGTACTGCTCGCCGTGGAATGGAGCCGGTGTCCGAGGAGCGACGGGTAGGTAGACGACGGCAGGAGCGGCGGGGGTCTGCGACTGGTTGGCCATCGTCGGCTGCCTGGTCCTGGGTGGTAAAGGTCCGTATTCCGGGTGTAGCCCTTGGGTTCGGCGACTTGATCGAGTCTCGATCTGGTCTTCGTTGGGTCCTCGGGAGCTTGGGTTCGGACTTGCAGTGCGGGAACTTGGGGGGCTGCGCTGCACGAACATGCGGTACCCCGCACCTCCACCAAAATGTCACGGGTGGTGACTAATAAACAAGAAATAAACAGGAATAAATAAACGTTTAATGTGGCGAACTTGTGCCAAAAATAAAGAAGGAGACAGAAGAAAGCAGAGCGTCGCGGGCGTCGAAGTCGGCGTGTCAGCAGAATCGAGCGCTAGGGCGAGACTGACTCGACAAGGTCGCGGGCGGCCTCTTATCTAGAGTGCGCCGCTATCTCGAAGATTCGGCGAAAGCGGTTCGAGCGTCGCGTGATCGGGGCGAGAATGAACACGTACTTTCTAGAAAACAAAAGCAGGGATAAATGATAGAAGTTACGTGCGGTACATGAATAAACGGGAACTTTCTGGAGGACCGTGACCGAGCGTTTCTTTCTCAGCCTTGCGCGCGGCAATATTGTGCAGGCGAGGTGCATATGTGTGCGCGCTGATGTGAATAAGTGATCGTACGCAGCGGTGCCGCCTGTGACGAAAAGAAACGCCGTACCTCTAGTGCTTTGGAAAGGCATCCGCTGCAGCGGCTGCACACACCGAACCGTACAAAAACATGCTGAACCGAAATTTTGGGTGGAAATTCTTGGTCGCAATGGCATACATAGCATGTCCTTTCCTTCTAAATGACGTTGTTTTGAGCGAGAAGGCGTATAAAATTGAATAAACACGAAAAATACAATTTTACGCGACCCCTGGTGAGCGTCGTGGGAAGCTCGCCTCGTGACGTGCGCATTCTCATTCGCCTCAAGAGACAGACGGAGCCAAGCCAAGCCAGGCGCTAAGCCGGGTGGCGTTTGTTATTGTTAGTATCAGCCGCTTTGAGAACAGCCGCCGAGCGAAGAATCAAGGCCAACGAACGAGGAGAATGCGCGGAGGCACCAGGGGCGCTGGGGGCGCCAAGAATGCGCACGTCAGTTTTGTTACGCCTGCTCTCAGAAGGACTCGCTCGCTCGGCCGAGGATTCGCTCTTAATTCAAAGAAATACAATAATTCGGGCCCCATCCGTCCGATTGAATATCGTTTTTAGGTACAGTACCATCCCGTGAAGCCCGCTCGAGCAATAATTATGAGATTTCAAATATCAATTCAGCATCCCTTTCAGCATTTGAGTCTGCCCTACTATGGTTCCTCTCACAACCCCCAAACTTCCAAAACACACTGCTGCTAAAAAAATGAAAAAAAGTAATGGCTGGCTTGGCCCATTTCGGCCCGCCTTGTAGACTTGAATGTAAGGCCCGTACCCGGCCCGGGCCCTTCATGAAAGTAGCCAAGAAACCTGAGCCGGGCCCACAAGCTGGGCTGACCCGTACCTGTGCAGCTCTCTACCCTACAGGGGCAGCTGATTTGATGTAATGCAAGTCATATATAACTAGAACACACCACAATTACAAGGAGATGCTGATGCTACAAAATATAACTGAAATCAAAATAGCTACACAGCGCGACCCTGTTAGCACGAACAACGGATCGGTAGGTTTTTTTTTTGTTTTTCCTCTTAGAACTGAAAAGTTGTATGTAGTCCAAACTACTAGTGCGGTGGAATTTGGGGCATAAACTTGGGACATGAAATTGGGTGCAGCCAATACAATTTCGAAGTAAAGTGAAAAGAGGTACCGATGCTGCGTTTGCATTTTTACAGTGTGGCATCGGTGTTGTGTTCACAGTTACGACATGACGCAATGTGCATGTTCGCTCTAATTTAGGCCTCATCCAAGGGGAAAACCACTCTTACTCGACAAAGCAATCTTTGCTGAATGGCTCATACAGGGGGTCGTCGTAGTCCTTCTCTTCCTTCACCTCTTCCTCTTCGTCGTCATCCTCCTCCTCCTCGTGTGAATGACTTGGGACTGGGCTAGGGGCAGGTGCCAGGACTGTCCCTTGTGGTGGCACTTGAGGGGCAGTGGTGGTGGCCGTGGTGGTTGTGGGGAAGGAGGCAGATACAGCAGCAGTGGTGGTGGTACTGATGCTGGCAGTGGCGCTGCAACTGCCAGGTAGCTCCAAAGCTTCTGTCTGAACGTCGTGGCTAGTGACGCCTCTGGCATAGGAGTTTGCCTGCGTGCCTAAAGGGAGAAGAGATGTTCACATATCCGGTTCCTCATATGCTCGGCTCAGTACAAGCTTCTGCAAAATGACATTCTGGCACGCACTACATTTCGTATATCTGATATTACAATTAACAGCAATCTAGATCTAGAAAGTAAAATACAACGGAAAAAACAAATAAGACGAAGATTAACCAGGGCTGTGAGTCTGTATCGAATGTATTTTACGATGTGACGCCGAGCACGCGAATATAGGAGGGGTCTTTTTCATCCCTACCGACTGATCTTTTTCCCAGCCTTGGATCCGTTCCCACAGAACTGTCTTTCAAAACAGCCGGGGTCGGAACCTGCGGCTTCTCTTGCGGGTCGGCCTGAACCGCTGCATCGCTTGTCGTCGGTCGGTGACGGCAAGGGCAGTCGTGCTCACAAGGTGCATTCCCTTCGAAGCCCAGCTCCTCAATCGGGTCATCGTCCTGCGCAATCGGAAAAGTTTCGTAAACCTCTGCTCTAAAGGTTCCGAATGCCCATGTCTACCGTTTACTGAAATAAGAGCGCCACTTACAAGAAGTTTTCGGCGTTTTGACGTTGGGTCCTCCATTGAAGGGATGTTACGCTTCACAGTGGGGGGAAGTCGAAGGGAAGGAACTGCGTCGGACTTGAGAAGAGCTCTCTTCACAGTCTGCCCGGCATCCCGAAGGACGCTTCCTATACGCCGGTAATCGCGGTCGCCGTCGAAGTGTTCGGAGCACACGCGCACCCCTGCCTGACCGGGATCCTCTCTATCGATGCGCCGACACCACTCAGCTCTGAGACGTTCCTCACCCGGCAAACGATGGAACTGAATGTTTTTGAATTTGATGATAGCAGCGGTTAGACACCGGTTGGGACAATGCGGAACACCGCACGCGCTCGGCATCGTCGATGTGATCGGGGCAACGTGAGTGCCGAAGTCGAACACGAGACACCAGAAAAAGATAGTGCGACCACGCCTGGAAGTCCACACGCGGACGGTTTTTGTGGAACCCGAGTAGATGGCGCCACTGAAACTTGAAAGACTACATTTTCTTTGATAATACTATACTTAGACGCGTTTATTTACACTGAAGCGGCAAAATTTATCAAAAGTAATCCTTATATTTCGCTCGTAATTGCACAACTTAAATTTATTTTGAAATCTTTTTTCACAATTTTCACTAATTCTCCGCTGACAACAGTGGGTGTCATGCTACAGCGTGCTGCCGAACGACGTCACTCGGTGGTTCCTTCAGCTGCCGCTCGTGGCTGTAGATGGGGGTAGAACAACGATTTTCGCTGTGCGATTACGCGGCGAATTCACAACATTTCGAAGGAAAGAGATGTTTTCTCTATCCTCCGGGACACGATAAACAAGGTAAAAGTTACAAGAGACAAATTCTTTCAATCTGAAAATCATTGCACCGCTCTTTAAAGACTGGTTTTGTCGGAGTCAGTCCTAGTTGGTTGCAACAGTGTGGACCAGCTATTAGACTGAAATTGTATCCAGCTTTGGGTCTTTCCACAAATGTTTTAAGAGACTCCCTTCAACTTTACCAGGGCTTCAGGTATTTAAACGTTGTAGTAAGTAGGGAGCCATCACATTCAAAGCTGGATCTTCTTGCTTTGTATGTGTCTCCCCAGTACCACTAAACGTTCTATACCAGATCAGAGCATTTTAATCAAATCCTTCAACCTCTTTCCTCAGCCATGTAAACTACTTGTGCACCCACGAGTTCTACAAGTCACGAATGTAGCCGGGGTAAATTAAAACGTCGCTAAGGCAAGCAATAATAATCATTATTAGCGACAGTAGTACTCTGGGTGGCTCGCAAGGCTAGACATATATACAGGGGCCCGTACGCACGATCGTCTGCTAGCCAATCAACCAGAGCAAGATGATCAAACTCACAAACAGGCAACAAGGGAGAAAACAACAAGAACGATGAGATTAACAGGGCTCGGTCAACAGTTTTAATACCCTTGCGATACGGGCAACTCGAATGCCATTTACAACGAATGACAATTGTGTGATCGGCGAATCAGCTCGATATCTGTCGCGCGTCGAATGCGTCACGCCCGGAGTGTCGCGCGCCGATTGGCCGTCCGCTCAAATGTCATTCGTTGTAAATTGTATTCGAGTTGCCCGTGTGTCCCAAGTATAAGAAACTCAAGGCCCGAGCACCTCAAACCCAACGCCACGCACCGCACGCCGACGCGAGGCACACGCCGTACACGAGCACAACGACGACATCCAGTTAGGAGCGTGTCCTATCAATACGCCAAACGCCAGCGCCAGTCGAACCGCGCCATCCCGCTGGACGCGGCGTGAAAACCCAGAGCGCGCGGGCCGGGAGTTTCAAAACATTGGGCACAACTCAACGCTGCCGCTAGCATGAAAAAGGACGAGACGACACGCAATCAAGCGTTTAACAACACAGAACAGTTCATTGATAGCAACGCGTACTTTAGAAACGATCTAATCAGCATCTCTGCAGTGCTCCGGTGTCGCAGAGCATTCACGGGATTCTCAAGATAGCGGCACGGCGGCAGCCGGTCAGTGCTAAGACGATTTCACTTTTTTCGACTCAAATCGTAGAAAAAAGTGAAAAATCATCCGAATTACGGTGGCAACGTGAGCTACTTTGTTCCGAAGATAATATAGCATATCTGGATATTCTTCTAGCATGCATTATGAATATGAAATCGGCAAAACTTACCTAAACTCGGATCGACCGACGCACTCCGAGAAAGGCCTTTGTGTCCTCTCCGGAACGAACAAGGATCCAGAAGTTGCTTGCGGCTTTCAATTGGCACGAATCCAAGCCAGTCAAGGCAGCCAAGGATTGAAATACGACTGAATAGTTTCGGTTTCGACCCCACTCTATCTCAGCCCATATTTCTGGGGCCGGTGTCACTACGGTTGACATTACTGCAGTTATCGTACTCTATACGAACTTTGAAGTCAATCGAATGCGAGCAGACATAATTTCCCAGCTTCTTCTCCTGTTATACGTTGCTTGATAACCTTTGTTTGCTGATTGGAATCTGCATCAACTCATGTCCATCTGGTCCTTCAAACAAACGGTGTTCGATATCTTAATTCGACTTGATTTCTTATTTGTGAATACCTGTAATTGCTTAATCATTCACTGGATATCTGTTTTAAGTTTTTTATTTTTTTGCTAAGAAAATGTACGTATTTTTTAAGTTTTTTTTTTTTAGTTTGGTCTGAATTACAGGCCGTGTTTTGTGGCTCAGTAAAACAGGTTGATTTGAGAAATTCAAGATCATGTACAGCCGACAATACACCAGTGATGTAAATACAGGGGAGGCGGGAGAAGCGTCCGCCCCCCCCCTCCCCCTTAGAAAATATTCCTGGCTGCGTCGCTAAATGAGCTTAAGAGGCACTGCGTTTTTTGCCTTATCAACATTCACACAAATCGAAGGAGGGAGGAGCTGCTTCATCTGAAAACTTTCAGTTTTGAGATGAAGCAGCTCCTCCCATCTCTTTCCACTTTTGCAGAGCGAACGCTCGGGAGGAGCCGACCCCCTCCCCAGCGTTTACTTTCAACCTGCCAACGAGTATGGCTGTATTTTTTTTTCGTGGACCTTCTAGATCGCTACAGCTTCAGTGCATACAGCGGTGTAATCCACTCGCTAACTTGCTGTGCGTGTCTAAACAGAAGACATGTTTCCCTCCGGAGCGGGATCGGCGGCCGAGTGGGCTAGAGCACACCAGCTCGGAGCACGCGGAGCGAAAGCTCGCTCAACAGAACCCAGGGATCCTGGGTTCAATCCGCACCCCTGCCCGTTTCGATCTGGATGAACATCCTACTGGCGCGCTTTCGTGTATCAATACTGCGTGATGCACGTTAAAGACCCTGCGCTATCAGTTTTACTGCATTGGCTAAATTTTTCATCTACAGCTGGCCCTACTGAAAAAAAAAACATTTGAAATTCAAAGGGGTGGCAAACTGGTAAATCAAACGGGTGCAAACTTGTCGATCCGTTTGGATCAAACGTGATTATGGGATACGGGTAGCCGTTTGAAACGGTACCCGCTCTAAACGGTACCCATTTAATACAGGTGCCCGTTTGATACAGGTGCCCGTTCGACCTTGCACGTGACCACACGTTTGAACGTGCCATTCGAATCGGGAAATTATTCGCTAGCCCTAAACGGGGATCGTCTGGTAGGTTGGTTATCTTAAACTTATTTAAGACTTTCCGAAACTCATAAACCTATTTATAACATGGAGGAAACACGTAGAACAAATGTGCTCACGTAAGTGCTTGCAAATGGACAGGAAAACAGACACGAAAAGATTGTTTTCAATTCTCCTCAAAGTTTATTACGCCTTTTGCAGACAAGTACAAACGTGCAAGCGATCTGTGAAATGTGAGAGGCACTCTAAGCTTTTATACAACTGAGAAGATAGCAAACCAAACAAGAACCGAGGTAATTCTAGACTGTGAAGGTAGACTTTCGGGAAATTATTCGCCCGGCTGCCGCGAGAATAGTGACTACATAATTATATAGATAATCTGGAAGAGTATGAGTAGAAGAACAATCAATCGTTGCCAAGAAGTAGGTTGCAGTGCACTTACCATAAAAATAGCGGACTTAAAAGATGTAATCCGTGATATTTGTCGACACAGTCAAAGCAGGACAACCCCACAAACACAAATGAGAGGGAACGGCTTCTTGGAAGTTTCAACACGATGTGGCGCACAAGCTGTCAGTTGCCGAACCCAACCAAACCGCAAGAATTCCTGACCTCTTTGAAGAATCGCTTGTTGCCGATATAGACGTAGGAGTTTTCGAACACTGATAGCTTTGGTGCACATCCAATACGTTGTCGAAAGACATCCTAAAGCGCGAAACACATGTACGACGAAACCGTCCGATCCGACGTCCGACCGCGACCGCGCAATACGACGGTCGGAGGCGAGGGTTTTCAACGCTCTCCGATGCTACGAAAACCCTCTCCCCCCAAGGTCATTCCGGCAGTCCGCACGTCGGATCGGACGGTTTCGTCGTACATGTGTTTCACGCTTAATAAGACCGCAGGGTTAGGCGACAGATCGAAGCAGGTGGACGCGCGAAGTTCGAGCTGGAACTGACAACAAGCAGACAGAGAAAAAAGCGGCTGCTCGGCGCACCCTTCCGGATCTCGATGCTTATCAGCGCGTAGCTCCGCGTGGCTGCGAGTCACGTGACGGGTGGCAAGAGAGGAGGGAGGCGGCGAGGACCATAGGGACAGTCCCTCTCCCTCCCTCCAGGCATTCCAGTGAGATGTGTTTTCGTAACCCCCCCCCCCCCCCCCACCCCCCCAAAAAAAAAAAAAAAAAAACGCGCGCGCGCATTTTAGCACACCCTAACATTGGAAATGGCGGCGGGGCGGCCAGAAGCTCGGCTTGCGCCCGAGCGAAGAAAGTACTCAGCGCGAGCTCGTAGTTTGACTGCTGCAACGGCGGGCTTGCTCTCGCAATGCTCGATGTTCTTGCAGCCGCGTGTACGCGTGCTACCTTCGCGGCGTCTTGAATTAAAGTGAAACGGAGTCTAGACGTACATTCTTTCACGCGGTCGAGTCTTCTGCGAGAGAGATTCGAGCTGAATAAGTAAATTTAGGCAACAAAGATGGACAAAGCTTTAAAGTTCTGTCAAAAATATCGGCTCACCAACGTCGCGCGTTTACGTAAAACAACAAAAAAAAGTGTTAGTTTTAGTTGCAGTATAAGCGCACATCAGCGCAATTGAAATATAAATATAATTACTTGCATTACGCGGACGATCTGAAATCGATGAACTGGCGCTCCCAGCCTTCCGGAAACATTCGCTGCCACGGCTGAAACACTAGGTGTGCCCACGTCGCCGATCTGTGCGTTCAGTATCAAACG